CGCCCCTTTCGAGGGTGTCCGAGGCCCCCCTGTCGCGGACGTCCGACGCCCCGTTTCGTCCTTCCCCGATCGACCGAGGCGAATGTCGAGGGGGGGTGACGAGGCATGGGGGCGGGGGGGCGCTTTGCGTGGGAGGGGCCGCCGCCACGGGGGATCCCCCATCGCTGGGGGTTCGGGAAAAGAGCCCCTCATCACTCCACGAAAACGACGACGACGAAACGGAAAGGGAAGAAGAAGAAGAAGACGACGAAGAAGAAGGCGCGCCGGTTTCTCGTGGATCGCGTTTTTTCCCCCCGGCGCGGGGGTTTTTCAACGGGGCCGAGGATCGGACCCGGCGCGCCCCCACCGGGCGACCCTCCACGCGGACTTTTTTCGCTCCTTTCCACGAAAACGACGCCGTCTGAAGTCGACTTCGGCCTCGTTTTTGCGCCCCAAAGACTTTTCGCTGGATTTCCATCCCATTCGCAAGCACGCCGTCCGTTCCGACGGGGTTTACCGTGTTCTTCCCAGGAGTGGCGGTCTTCGACTTGGGGAGTTGGGGGGCTGGGGAGGTTCGTCCGCGGAGGGGGATTTTTCCTTTCCCCACCGGATCCACCGGATCCCCGGCCCCGTAGGATGGGAACGGGGTTTCTTTTCTTAACGGCATGATCGGGTGTGGGTTTAGGCGATAGACGTGAGGATCGGATCTAGGAAACGGGAATCCCGTAAATGCCGTTTATGGATCTCCTGAAATCGTCCACACCTCGGCGTTGCGGCGTAAGGGGTTGTGATATCGCCCCACAAATCGTCTGCCCCACTCCCCACTCGCGTGGATGTTTCTATAGGCTTGAAAAAAGAAAACTTGACAAGTCCCCTTGAACGAAATGGGTAACTAAAGCCTCCTTTTCTGTGGACAAACAAATTCCTCAACGGTAGAACTCTTCTACCCCTTGGGCACGACGAGGCAACTGCAGATGTTAGCAGAATCACAGCCCAAGTTGGGGAAAAGTAGTAAAATGCTTATCCAAGACTAAACGGGAAGACACAATAATAGAATGAAGAAGCATAAACACAATTCTCTCAAGGTTTCCATGCACTTATTCACTGTTTGGGCTGTTGCGGCATGCCGCAACAGCTAACCTCCTCTCCAATTCGTCCTCCTGTTTTATTTTATTTTTTCGATTCACCACCAGATCGGGTGCGAATTGGTACATCAGAGTGAAAACAAAAGCCAATGTAAGGAAGCTATCTCGTCGCGTATAAATTAATAAATCATTTTTACCCCCCTCCCGTGATCCTCTTCGCGTACTAGCTTATAAGTATATTGATCCGACGCTGTGTGTTCACGGGCATTCGATGCGACCCTATTCAGGCATACAAAAAATAGCTAAGATGGAAGTACAAACAAGAAGCTCAATTATGCCATATAAATATAGATCTATATCTATAATCCCGTCACACTTATCAATCCTTTATTAGCCCTGTCGATTTTTGTATTTGATTTATTATGAATTGCCTTGATTATTTCGTGCTTCATTCAGCTATTTACTTATATCAACTCTGTAAGCTGCCTTTTTACCGAATTCAACATCAACATGATCCGTCTTTTCCATACCACACCATGACATGCAGATGCAAGATTTAGTTAACCACTTAATCAACTTTAATTTTTATTTTTTCCCCATTAACAATTCAGGAATTAGTTATGTACCATTATTGATTCATATGTTGATATAAATATAAATAAATAAATAAATAAATAAATATATATATATATATATATAACGAATAAGCTGGAATATAGGATAATCATGAAATTAAACCATTTAAAAAGTATCTATCGATAGATCCTATACGAAACTAATCTGTTCGTACTATTAATGATTTGCCGATACACACACGCAAAGAAAAGTATCGTCTAATATTATGTTATCAAGGGAGAGAATCGAATTATAAAGTGTTCGTAACATAACCAGGTCGTCACTTTATTATGATTATTATTTTTGAACGATGTCGCTTGTCATTGCTCTGCCTCATTCGCCATCCAAGGTATTATCCGTTGCATAAAATTCGTCAAAACACCGCGTTAGCCATGCCCATTCCATACGACTCCAAAGCTCCCCCAAAGGGTTTCCCGCCCCCTTACTCGCGGACTCTTGCTGGAGGATAATGTACTCCTCAAATTTACTCCAGCTTTCCATTAGTTCAGACCAGTTTTCCACCTCCGACAGTTGGCGGGATACGACTTGAGATATCGCTTGTTCGGCTTCGACGCCGCTCGCTTCGGGGGGAACCCCCGATTCACGCCAAAGCGCCTCGTTTCCTGGAATTTCCCCCCCCAAAGCGCTCACGCGCGCCGCGAGTAGCAGGGGAAGAATCGCCCACGGCAGCTCAAACACGTGCGCGATCGCGAGCCGTTCGAATCGCCAGATGGCCTCCACCAAACGCGCGTCGGGCGTCGTGGGGTCGTCCAAGACATCCGGATGCCGGAGGAGGTTCAACAACTCCTGCGTGAGGGTAATCTCGAAAATCCCACGGTCGTCGGTGTGGATGGAGATGTTGGGAATCCCCACGATCGGGGTGGGGGGTTCCGCGGCTTCCCGATTCCGCGACCCCCCCGCCTCGAGATTTCGAGTTCGATAGCGTTCAACCCGACGTTGGCCTCGCCGCCTGTGCGCGGCGAGGTAGCTCGTCGGATCGAGCAACCCTTCCACGAGGGTGGGGTGTTTCCTCGCGACGGGATTCCCCTCCGTCGGGGTGGGTTTCCATCCCATTTCCCGCGCGGACGCCATCACGGTGGCGAGGTGATGCTGCCCGATCGCGGTATGTCCGGAGGTGATGAGGTTGCTCGTGAGGCATAGCTCAATCGGATCGTGCGCGGTGAGAATCCGACGACGGGCGTCGGGATCGGTAAACACCAAATGCCCCCAGCGATCGGGATGATAGGCGATCATCGCCGCGAGCTCGATCGGATCCGGCCGTTCCCCCCCATGCAGGGTGATCCCGAGCATCCCGCGCAGGATCCGTTCGGGCGGGGGCGGCGTCAGGCCATGCCTTCCCGCCCGCGCGGCGAGGAGGGCGGGTTGGAAATCGCCAAACGCGCCGCGGTAGCAATTCCCGGCGAAATCCAACCCGGTGATCCAACACGTCCGGCGTAGCCGCCGCGTGATCGCGCGGGAGAGAAGAAAAGGGGGGGCGCCGTCGGCCGCGTCGAAAAGGGCGGCGGGATGCCCCCTCTCCCTACCTTCCGTCACCCAACCCCGCAGCCAGCGGTGGAGGTGGCGGAGCTGCTCCCGCTGCAACCCCGCGGCGAGGCGGAGGGCCTCCCACGCCCCTTCCACCGGCGACCCCCGATTCATCGAAACCAACAACCGCACATGCATGCGCCCTCGAAGATGATCCCGAAGGTGCTGGAAAAGACGCGCCGTCGAAGCGGCCTCGTCGGTGTCGTTTTCGGGGTTCACCGTCGAGGATTCCCGGACTGGGGTGTAGACGAGCCCGCCGTAAAGCGCCTCAAAGGCCCCCCACCACCGCCGATCCGCGCGAGGAGAGGAGGGGGGATGGCGGCGATCGTGGCGAAGCTCACCGGTGTGGAGGTCGACCACCCCCCCATCGAGGATATGCTCCACCGTTTCGATAATCGTGCGCAGATAGTCTTCTTTGCTCGCCTCACGCGATGGATGCGTCGCCGTTTCGGTTCGAATCTCTTCAGGATCTTCGGGAAAAATCCCCCATTGCATGTGATCCCGCAGCGACGTGCGAATCTCCAGCACCATGACATTCTCCGCCGCGCAATGCCAAAGCATATCCTGTACGGCCATTCGCGTGAAAGCGAGGTTTGTCATCACTTTATACACCTCATCGAACATCTTAAAGCAGGTTAACATCCGATCCTTTGGACTCGTGCAACTCCGCGTATCCTCAGTGAGCCCAACCCCCGGTATTGGAATCGAGGGGGAGGGAAAAGACGCTGAATTCGGCAAGGAAGGGAACGCGTTCGGCGATTGAGTTGTGCGATTTCCCCACGAAAGAGGGGCCTCGTGATTATCATTCATCGCGCCGTTTGATTTCACCCCATTTATCGACTCCGCGCGAAGACGCTTGAAGTGCGCCAAAATGACGGGCGAGATGCTTCCATTGAGGTGGAAATGCATGTCGAGTTTAGGAAGCGCCATTATCAGTTTTTCAAAAGAACTTGCCGGATTCAAAGCGTGGGCGACCACCTTAGAAACCTGCGCGTGAGGGAAAGGCGCTATGGGGCATTGGTAATCCTCGCCATGAGTCGAAGGGGATTCGTTGCCCTGCATGGAACAATACACCCGCTTTCTATGCAATCGGTACGTGCAATCGCAACAAAATACCACGAAGAAAATGAGAGAGAGAGATGATATACACGCCTCGATGAATTCTATAGATTGAGAAAACAAGAATACGGAATGGAAAGAAAATCGTGAAAAATGAATCTTCATCTTCGCGGACGCACATAGGTCATCTTGAGGCTTACACACTTAGTTTTATTAACCACAGTCGGTTTTGATTCGATTCATCTTGATTATTTACCTCCTACAATACTGAATCTAAAAAGGAAAAAAATCACCAACAGGAGTCGTCATTACATACACAAAAAAATAGACAAACGGATGCTTTTATGTACCTCTTCCGCACCGCTCCTTCTCTTTCTCTCCTTTCCTACTTGCGCTTATTCAAAAGCATTTACCCTTTTTTTCTATTCTCTCACATTAATGACCATACTAATTTTCACTTCAGGCATCCATCTCACCACAATTACCAACCTTCACTCGAAAACTCATCCGACGAAAAACTAGGCGTACACACACCAAGGAGGTCTACGCGGAGGATCTCGGAAAAGATGAAGAGGAAAAAAACGAAAAGCACAGCAGACCACCAAGCCACCCCAACCCACTCCCCTTTACTGACCACCGCCACCCACGATGTTAAAAATCTGATTCGACACGTACCACTGCCCATTATCCTGCGCGAGGTGAAAGACGTCGTTGAACTTCAACGGATGCCGCTCATCTTTGAGCGCGACCTCGCCGTTCACGACGACTAGCACACCGCCCGACAAAGAGGGCTGGCAATCCACGCTATCCGTCTTGAATTGCGCTTCGGTGAAGCCGAGGTTGGCAAACCTCGCCGTGATCGCCTCGACGCCCTGCAGCTGCTCACTTTGCCATGTGAGAAGGGTACTCGCGCGGTACACACCCGCGAGCTGGGCGCGCTGAGTTGAAAAGAAGGCGTAATAATGTTGCACGAACTGCGCCCCGACTTCTTGGAAGGACATGACCGTGAGGATAAATAAGTGATGCGGGAAAAATTAAATTCTTCGATAGAATTCCTATTGTTATCGTTTTAGTTATTCAGCGTCGCTGGATAAAACGCCCTAGCTGCTTTTTCAATAAAATCTTAACTGACGATTTGTATGTTTGGAGTTTATCACTTTGGTGCTTGGTTATTTAAAAAATCAACACAAGATGGAGGTAAAAAATTTGCTATCCCTTCAATGAGGAGAAAACATCAAAACATGCAAAGAAAGATCATGCATTTATGCATGTAAGGGGAATTATACTGTATGCAAATTTTACCTTTTATCTTCTTCTCTGCAGCGTGGTTGAGTCTGCAGGACTTGAAGAGGGTGGGGTGGGGTGGGGGGGGGACCGCTCGGTTTTCTACACGCTCTGACTCACCACTTCCCACATCAGCCCTCCCAAGAAAAACAGACGTCTCTTCATTGTTATGGCAAGAAAATACAGATTTTCATCTCTCAAAAGGGAAAAGTCTCACTGCTCGTACGGCTTGCATGGGCTTTAACTTTACTCTCCCCTTCCACGCTTCAAGCTACCTGGGGCTTTAGAACTCTTAACGAATGCTTTTTTATTTCCGCACTCGCGATTCTCGGCGGGTGATGGAGGGTCATTATTGCTCCCCTTATCGCTGTTCGCATTCTTTTCCTCGCACTGTATGGCTGAGAGACGCTGCTGCTGCCCTGAGCGTAGTTTCGGATCTGAAAAGGACTCAATAGAAAACCAACCTTGCGCTTCAGCCTCCGCGAAGGCCTCCGGGAACGCCGCCTTCTCCCACTTGAGGTAGTTCACAATCTGCCGCTGTAGCTGCCGGACGTTGAGTTGGAATGGATTCAACTTTCGGTCCAACGACATGCGCTTAAGGTCGGTGCCGTACTTCTGGAGTAGATTAGCGATTGTACTGCCCTCTTGCTCACTCACCGGGCGCCCGATACGATCCCGCCTTACCTGTTCTTCCTGCAGCTTGATATCATCCTCTTCTTCAAGCTTTCGCTGCGAATTGGGCTTTATCTTTTTCTTGCGCTCCTCGACGACGCTTTTTGGCGCGCTTGGGTCGATGCTGAGACCAAGGCGCGTAAAGCTCTGCGCAGCCGTGTGGTTTCCCTCAAAGTACTTTCGCGTGAACTGGTTGTTTGAACCGGCAACGTCGACAGCGCGAATGTGGGCAAATCGACGCTTGAGGTACTGTTTTTTCCCCACGCGCGTGATGGGGATGTTCTTCTTGACTTTCCCCTTTGGTGTTACCTTGACACGTCCCATCGCAGTGTTATACTATTAGAAGATATTATAAACCTTACTTTATCCGTATTCCCTTTTATTGTTATTATGTATTATATTCGCACTTTGCGAGAGGTGTACGACAGCAAACAATTACCAGTCACTACGAAACTAAAATCCCCTTCCAGAAGAATAGCGGTTGGTTTTAGCCACACTCGCTTGTTCCTACACTGAATACCTCTGTTTGCACGGTACATACCCAAAGCAATGGTTTCAAAAAAGTTCCACAACAGTTGAAGGGAGAAAGATGCAAGTAGAGCAAGTCCGCATAGTACAGGAGGCCTTTAAGCGTCATATCACACCATCGACTCATAGATATGTGAAAATAAACAACTGATCATTCAAGAAGAAGAAAAGGAGCATAGAAAACAAAGTAGCTCTTTGTTTTTGGGGTATAGAAATGTAAAGCGGAAAATAAAGCAAATATCGTGACATATGATTCCGTTTACGTATTAATGAAATGCCAAAATTCGAGTAATAAAGTTCAACGAAGACAGGTTCACCCCTTTTGCCACCAGCCTAGCTGTCAAATCGCGTAGTAAATATTAATATGTAGTAGGATAACTACACGAATATTATTACTCTACGCAGTTAACACTTTCATTCTGTTTCCAGTTAAATCTAATTCGTATCTCTTCCCCCAAGTTCGTTAACTGGGATACGACACAGTCCATCTGATAGGGATAGGTGGAGCCCCCGGGCTATAGTTTTCCGAGATTTACTTGGGTTGTTTCTGGCTTGTGCTGCCATGATCGTACCGTTATTCTCATAAGATCCTTTAGCTTCACAGGTTCCGAAGTTGTCTTGATTTCCTGTACCGGGCTGTGAGAATCATGTCCGCCAGAGCCGCTCCCACGAGACCATTGGCGGTGAAGGATGGCAGGAGTGCCTCCAACAGCTCCGCACGCGCGTTGATTTTCTTTTCGTGCGGCCGCTTGCCCGCCAAGGTGATGGGCGCCGTGGGGTCGGGACGGCGAGGGGTGTGGTGACCCACCGAGACGATCCCCGTGGGCGTCTCCGTCGGTCGATCCCGCCACACCACCGACAGCTCCACCGTGTGGGCCGGCGCCTTCGGACGACCCCGGGCCTTTCCCTTCCCGGTGGCGCGACGCGGCC